TGTAAAGTTGAATTGATTTTTATTAAAAGGATAAACATATGCACGATCTTAATTGTTGAATTATTATGTTTATTCTTGTGCTACAATGGAGTACCACTCAGCGTCAATGCTGAGCGGATAGCGTTGTTTTCTTTTGCTGTCCGTAGGTGATCAGACAGATGAACCTAGAGCCGATCCCAGAGGGCATTGAGGAGGAGATGTACGATGGCGTGGCTGTCTCTTTAATCTGTTGATTATGCTTTATTTAATCAACTTTAATGCTTATTACGTTTTCGGGCAAGATCCCAAGTTGTTTGACTTTAAAAAGGCTTCCGCATTATTTTAAATTACTACGATGGATTTTTATATGTATTGATAGAACGTTTGTTTAAAATTGTTTTGGAAATGTCGCAAATTCGGATACCAATTCAGTGGCACACCGGTCCGCTGTCTCACGGGTTTGGGTCATGCGGGCCGGGGTGTTACATTTTGGTATCGGAGCATTTGGTTTTAAAATCGGTCTTTGGACCCTTTCAAAAAAAAATAAAATAAAATACAATGAATAATTCAGCCGCATTTGCATCTCACGTAACTCCTCTGCCCCGGGAAGGTAATAAGTATTTATAGCTTTATCTGTTATATGTTAAGATCTGACGTGAGAATTTCCTTATTATTTTAGAATGAGTCAAGAATCGACCCACGGTCAGTACGTTCCGGAGCCGGAGCACGTGAGCGTGCACACGGTGAACACCGAGGGTTCGAGTTTCACGCCTCCGGGTGACGGAGGGCAACAGCAGAATCAACCTGCGCCAGCGGGACAGCCACCAGTTGTACCACCGTCAATCGTACCACCTCCAGTGATGCCACCGTTGGCGATACCGCCGGTGGTCTACGAGCAGATGTTCCCGGCCATGATGGCCCATTATATGCAGCACATGGCGCAGTTTATGCCCATGTTCCAGCCACCGCCACCACCGCAGCCGCAGCCGCGCATCGTTACCTTCAAGATGTTGAAGGATAATGGAGCGGAAGAGTTCCGAGGAGACAATATGGGGGAGCCCCAGATTGCATTGGATTGGCTTGAGCAGATGGACTGGGTACTCAAGAATTTGAGAGTCCCAGATGCTGATCGCTCGGAGTTGGCGTCACAGATGTTCCGGAAGGGAGCATATGATTGGTGGAAGCGCATTGACCAGGATCCACACACGCCCAAGCCGTGGACCTGGGATCGCTTTGATCGAGCCTTCACGAAGGAGTACGTACCCACCCGGTACCGCGAGGAGAGGCGCGATGAGTTCGTTGCGCTTAAGCAGGAGGGGATGTCACTGCCTGAACTGAGACAGAGGTTCGACTACTTGTCCCAGTACGCGACGAGTCTGGTCTCCACTCCGGAGGATCGTTTGAATGAGTTCGTCAAGAAGCTACGGCCGGACTTGAGGCCGTACGCCGCACTGATCACGACGACAGATTTTAATGCGGCGTA